CGATGGCTTGGGCATGTGTTGCGAATGCCTCCAGAAAGGAAGGCTAAGCAACTCTTCCTTGCAAATCCGATCGGCAAAAGGCCCTGGGGACGGCCAAGATTAACCTGGTGCAATCATATGGAAGGAGTCTGTTCCAGACTGCATTTGTCTTTGGCCGAAGCTCAGATTCTGGCAAAGATCGGGAAGCACTGTCTGATGCGTCTGCCTCCGCGTCCCGAACGAAGAAGCGGCGATGGAAGAAGAAGAAGAAGAATCGATTATGGAAATACAGAAGATGTGAGTATTAAAGGTGAAAGTCATTCCTGTGGTGATAGAGGTCCTCAGAGATATGGCAGGAGCATCAGCAACTACTAATCAGTAAACCGATGAAGCTATCACGGCAAATGAGCCGCAGAAAGCAACGCTAAAATGAACAGCCAGGACTTAAAAAAAAGAGTAGCGCAATTGCCTAACCCTTAGTAGACGGTTCAAGCGGAAATGATGTTAATGCCACTCGTGCTATTTTAGATGTACTGCTAAACACAGTGGGAAATTGCATTGGAGGAATGCGAACTAGTTTTAAAAGAAAGTACAACAGGTACTTGCAAAAATGAATCTATCAAAAATACTCGATTGTCGAGTAGTGCATAAACCAGCAATGGACTCATTTCCTAGGTTTGTATCTCCTTTTTATTAGTCTTTGACAGTTTGACCGCAGCGTGTTTTCAAACAGGTGTGTAAAGGGAAAACGCGGTTTTTATTTCCCTCAGGATCGACTGTTTCTCGTCTCCGCTTCACCCTCATCGACTCCGAAAACTTTGCGTGCATCACATTATTTGACACTCCGACACCCAGCGTTACTTTCCATGCTGGCAACAGTGAAAACGAGGTCGTTCGTAGTCGCCAGTAGCTAAACAGGATTCAGTTTTGGTGACACAGTTTGCCCATTTTGAACCACCAGTTAGCCCGGGTGTTGTTTCTCGGCGCAGGTCAACGGTGCACCGGTTAGAATCCTACGTGAGAAATGAGAAACGAGCGGCGATGCAAGAAAACGAGTTGATGAAACGACGTTCGGTGACGTTCGAATTGCGTTGTCGACTTGTGCCACCTGGGGTTGAAGGCGGTGATTGCCGACTGTCACCGACAGTCGTCTGTCTGCCGCGCAGCCGATCCTCACTAACAAACACGCGACGAACCTCGCAGGCTGCGGTCATGGCTTCGGAGACGGTCGAAAATCGCCCCTTCGCATTCATCGTCCAGTTGTTCGTCATCCACCTGGTCTGCAGCCTGATGAGCGCCATGGTGCAGAACGTCACACAGTCCCTCAACGAGTTTGAATCTTACACTTTTCAACTGATGCACTGTTTGTACACGTTCGTTTTTTGTCTCCTCTGGCAGGCGTGGTCAAAGCAGCGTTTCACGCTTCTGCCGGTCCGGCAAATTATGCAAGTGTCGGTGCTGCGATTTTTTGCGTCGCTTGCTATTTCGCACCTTTTGTCCGGGACGCTGGACGTGTATCGTTACATGGTAAGACCAGCTGACTTCATCATGACCATTCTCATCATGAGGATTGGACCGATGCTTTTGGGCAAGACCAAACGAACCAAGGAGGATAAGTTATATATAGTACGTGAGGTGTTTTTTATTTTTAAATTTCCCATTTCGATTCGCCTCGTTGATGCAAAAAGTGTTCCAGGCGGTGATTGCCATAACAGCGTCCATGAGTTACCTGTATCCACTGGATCGACAGTTTTATAACTTATCGTTTTTCTGCTACCTTTCGCTGGGTCTTGTCTGCGGCAGCTTCTACTTCATAGTAATTCGATTCTTATTTTCGTTTGTTTGACGGTGACCCCGCATTTCTAGTTTTGTCAGCAAAAGTTCCGCCAGCTAAAGGCTGACTTCAACACCTACGCCATGAATGTCACCGGGTGGAGCACCGCGCTACTGACGATCTACACCGTTTGCGTTAAGGCAGTTCAGCACCGAAACACAGGTCTGCTCGAAGAAGTCTCATTCGAAACTATCGATTACGTAAGTGCAACTTTTGTGCCATTCCGGGGGCTAACTTAAGCAGTGTTTGGAAGTCTTTTGAGAACAGGAGATTCAGGTTTTGCCAGTGCATATCATGAGAAAATGCAAGTGAAAAGTAGATGCACGGGCCGTGATTCCAAGCGAATTGAATAAACGACTCGTTTGTCAGAGTCACCTGCATTTTGTCCTTCTGGTGTAGATAATTGGACACTAATCTGGAAAACGAAAACAAGGAACCTCACAATACCAAGTATTGCCTTTCGAAAATAAGGAAGTTCCGTTTGGTCATACGCAGACAAACATCAGCGCCATAACTGAAAGGAAGATGCCAGAAGTAGTGTTCATTCGATAGAGTGTAACAGGAGTTTAAAGGAGACCGCATCCTAGCTGCGGTGAACTATTTTGTTTCCTTTCCGTTCTTTGACATAGGTCTTTTGGTTAACTATTTCATGCCAGCTTTCGGTATTTTAATGCCCTGGGTGCATCGGCACCTTTCAGTACAGCCTCGTTGCTTGCTTCCATGGTGGTAAGATCCAACATCGACATGTCCGTTGCTGAGAGCCAGCAACGATCAGGAGATAAGGGATTACATGCTACGGCAAAATATGACCAATTATTTCTTCCTTACCGTAAAGACCTGACATGAACCTGAAACTTTCGATTACTGAAGCAACGATAATTGTAAGGGGACAAACCTAATTTCTGCAACGAAAATTTTTTTAGCATAAGTAAACCTTGACAGTAAACCTTAGCAAAGGAATTAACGATAACGATCTGTATCAATTTCTGAAACAAACAAAAGGAATTTTCTTCGTCATATTTTGTACTTCTGAACTAAGGATGGCTACACCAGGTGACACTGGATGGGTGACATAAAACGCAAAAGGTGAGGACTGCATTTACACCAGCTTTACAGTCGAGATCTAAACAGCGTGAAGTGATATTTTCGCCACAACTTATGTATCATTATGTCGTCCCTCTGAGTAGTAGGTGACACTTATCCGTTATCCGACATGTCATCATTATGTATGCGCCAGGAACGCAAGTCACGGTCCTCCAATGTTCTCTATTTTCCGCTTTCTGCCTCCGTCGCCGAAGCGAAGTAATTTGATCGACGGATCATTTCAGCCAGTTCTTAGACGACCGACTCGACTTCAGTAATTCAACGGAACCCAGTGTGTAATTCTCCACGTCCATCGGTTGTCTCTCAAGCGAGTCACGCGGTCAGTCCATCCTCTCTTGGCATCTTAAAAGGCAGAAATCATATATGCTGATCCAGTCCATTGCTGAACTTTTGCGCTCAGATGATAATCTCAGAGGGATTGCGCATTTTTGTTCCATTCCTCTTTGCGTGACTATCAGTTGGTTCTGCTCGGCTTCAGTAGCAGACCCACATTCAGCGCCGCGAGCCATAGCAGGTAGGT